TCGGCACGCGTCAACACCGACGGAGAGCACCGATACCGCGGCTCGCTCTATCGCTCTCGCTCGCACGCCGTGACGTCACCCAATTCCCGGAATCCCGCGGCTACGAGATGGCTCATTATGGTAAGGCTTCTCGCAAGGGAAATTGTAAGCCGCCGGCCAAAAAGTAGATTTGGTAGACTATTTATGAAACTACATCTATTCTGAACTTATCTGTTACAAATATACAAATGTAAGGCAACATATGAAAACGAATAAAACAAGAACATGTTTCTTTGAAATTCATACACATATGTATGTGACTTATAAGTATATAAACATTAAAATTCACATCTAATAAGGAAAGCACTAAAGTTATCTCTCCAATTTTTTACATATTGTAGCAGCATAGCAAAGTATCAGGTGTACATAGATATTTATTAATTTAGATATATACTGTTGTTTATTGTAGCATACTTTGTTGACTGTGATTGCTGAGTCTTTTTAGATCTTGTTCATTATACTTGATTTATTTCATAGTACATACTATATGTGTATACTTACCATATTGTATTATACATATTGCCAACAAACTGTGTCCCGTTAATTATAGAAAATCAATAAATTCTAATAAGTTAGTAATATGTCAAATAGAGTGTAATATGTAAGAATATGTTAATAAGCAAAGGAGTATTTTATAGATTTATGTCACCAGGTAATTAATTGTTGAAAACAAAACAAGTTTATTGTAATAATTGTAATATTTATTATCACAAACTATGAGTTAAATCGTACACAATAATGTAAGAAAAATTATTCGTGATGTTTATAATTGTTTCCTTCTTCCTATGGGTAATTTCATGGTACGGAGATAGTTTTCAAATATGATTAAAAAAATCATTCGATTCTACATTGTTACAAATGTAAAAATTCGCTACCACAAGTATAAGTTACTCTAACGATCGTCTACTTTGTAACTGCCGCTGTTCACAGCAAGACAGAGGATCTCTTCCATCGCTTATAATCGAAAACTTTTATACATTTAAATTTAGGATATTTAATAGAAAATATTTACCCAATATATTCTGTAGTCAATAAATGGATCAAAAATTCGATCAAAGGCACCTTTTCAGACATTAATTACATTTACAATTACATAAAAATTATATTGCTTTAACGTACTACTATATACATTGGTGACCAAATGTTATCGATACATATGAGTTTTCCATTGTTGCCTTCTCATGCATGGTACAGTTTAAGGTGCTCGTATTTTAAAAAATTTTCGTAAAATATATCTGTATATATATATTTACTTAAAGTTAGAAAAGTGAAACTACAGTTCATAGAGACCTCGATTTATCGCGATCGGCATTCTATGTTCGCTGGAATTGTATATTTTGGAATGTACTGCTAACAATTAAAATTTAACAGATCCATTGTACAATACCGTAAATGTTAACGAATATCAAACATTTGACAAATTTTATTTTTTCATTATTTTTTTCTCACGTATCAAATGAACTGTAGTTTCGACAGGCTAGATCGGAACTTGATTGTTCGATTGATGATTTCTTTAACACATTACTCTTTCACGTCGCGGAGATTATACATGTACATATATATAAACAATTATTGTGGTTGTTTAACGATAAAAAAAAGAATTCTTAAACAATAACAAGGTATACCACATGATACTAAAATCACATAAACGCTTGATATTCAGGCTAAGAATCTCTCGTCCGTTCCTCGACAACACAAACGGTTTCCTTCGACTCGGAAAACGTAACGAGTGTTTCCGTAAAGTCAACGAAATAATACCGGTTTCCGTTTGATTCTTCTACATTTCATCATTCACTCTGAAAACGTTTCATCGTTACTTTCGAACGTCACAATGCAATGACTTAAATGAAGTCTTACGTGAAAGTATGGATTGCGGAGATCAGTTTGGTATTTTTACGGGCAACCTCTATCCGACAGAATGTAGCGAGTTTGTTTTTATGCATTTCTACAGGACGAAACGCATAAACTGTACAACCTGATTAACTTTGCTGTTGAGATGAAACGATCTATTACGTAACCAATCCACGGACTTTCTTGCAACTTCCGTAAGCACATTTCCCTATATACGGATTGATATGAATACCGGATTCATTGATAAAGTATTAACAGTAACGCTAACACAAGGACGGTATTTTGAATGTATGTATTGTGTAACGAGAGTTTGTAAACACCTAGCAAGATTGAACATACTTCTTATATTATACTTGACCGAAGCGATATCCAGTTAAACAAAAACGTAAGCAATAATGTGGTTCCACGTACAGAACTGGAAGTGCTCATGGAAGGTCCAAAAAAAAAAAAAAAAGAGTGATAGAAATAATAATGCGGTTACCTCGTATGCTTTTCGCAATTAAAGTACATAAGACGAAAACAGTTTTTGTGGTTTCATTGTCATCAAAAATAATCAGGATGGACGAGTTTAATGCAAAATTATTTTACAAAACTCAAACATTTTAGCATGTAATGAACTTTTGTGGTCAAGTCCGTTCAAACGATGGAACTCATTTCGAAAAGTTCTTTTCTATAACTTCGCAGTTAGTTGTTTAATTGCCATTAGTTCTGAAACAATGGACAAGTTGAAATACTTGTTTTTTCAACGTCGAAAAATAGATCTCACGCGTCAGGACATGGCAATCGGCGGATGCAACGGTCGCATCGTTGCAGACAAACGGTCTCGTACGTAAAAACTTGGTACAGTTTTACATTTAGTAGGAAATTTGGTCCGACAGTTCTGTACTAACTGCTGACTGTGATTCACGTATAACATCTCATCACATGTGAATCGTTGCCGCCGTGTAACGTGCTTCGCCCCTTCGCCAACTCCACTGACTCGGACGATACTGTTTAAGAAATTGATATCAAAGTTATATACACGTTTTCTTCTTCTTATTTCTACGTTAAATAATCGACGTAAATTCTTACCCTAATTAACATCTGCCCAGATGCACTATGAGGATTACGATAAGCGTATGCAGCCCAGGCCACTAAACCTACGACTAAACCGACCACCAGCAGGATTCCAATTACTCCAGAAACTCCCATGTTCATATTGTTGGCTCGAGCTAAAAATTTTAAACATTATGCGTTATAGATCATTTCTTACCAGCTTGTGTAGACTTTTCCGATTCGGATACAGTGTCCTATCTATAATATACACATGTGGAACACACTTTACTTACGGAATCTTGCGCGTAAAAAGCAAGAATATGTGTTTATATGAACACAAAACGTACGATATATTTTCTACGACACTGAATAAATAAATAAAATTAATGAATAAATGAATAAATGAATAAATAAATAAATAAATAAATAAATAAATAAATAAAAGAACATCAATAACATACAAGGTACCTAATTTGAATATATTTCGTGGAGCTAAGCTGACACGAAGTATTAGTTCCATTGTTGAATGTGTTTTCAAATATAATGGACATCCTGTATTGGGTGGAGCACATACATATTCCCACATAAATATACATTGTTGTGATCAATACTGTGATTAATTCAACAGTCTATAGTCTATAGTTTATAGAATGACAACGTATGTTGCAAAAATATTTTGGTTGGTGAAATGTATCCAACTTAAATGTAAATATAACCAAAATTTCTGGGGTGACAGTTCTTTGACGTTTAATGCTTCACCCTCCTGTAGAATGAATATTCGAATCTTACCACGCTTCAAGGGATTCGTTCCGTGTCTGTCCTGCTCCATACTCATTTCACTGACAGTGACAGTCTCTTCCGAGTGTACGTGTACAACGTCATTGAATTCTTCCTCGTGTTCCTTGTACGTCGTGGTCGGTAACGGGCAATTGTCGACATCTTTTACCTTCCTGACATCGCAACCTTTCAACAGCCAATCTTGCCGTGACCTGAACGTCCCTGTGCTGCACTGATTCAGCACGGAACACCATTTGCAGTCGAAGTCTTTCAGTTTCGTCAAGCAGTCTCTGCAGTTGTCCATCTCCAAGCAGGTGGGTAATGCGTTTAAGTAGATCACCGTCCAATTCTTGATATCCTGCCGGTTAAAGATCACGCGATGGTACTCGTAGATTGTTTTTCTGCGAACAACTGCAGAAAAAGAGGTGAATGAAGGAATCGAGATCTTTTAGAATGCACTATATTCCAGTGCTGTACAACATAAAGATGGTATTTCTTATTAGAATCTAACTATTTTTCCGGACGCAAGTATTATACGAAACTTAATAAGTTTAAAACGGACATACAAGTTCTTCTATCATTCTTAGTTAGAAAAAAAGAAAAATGAAATGAAATGCAAGCAAAAAGAATAGTAATAACAAATCATTTGTTGAATAGGAAAACACGTTCACATACTTTTTCCAAATAAATATTATAAAGAGCTATAATTTTGAATATTATTCCATCTTTACCATAGCTATTGCACGGAGATGAATAATTTGAAATTTAGATGTCATCGTGATTTCCTTTGCGGTTCAAAGAAACCGATGCAATCGTGCAGGTTGTTGATATTCCCTTATAGGAAAACAGAGTATGCATAAAAAGTAACATTAAACACGCGCCTGGCGCATACACGGGCTGAAATTTATCGCACTTTCTTCACTTTACCTCATCCAGTTTCTCATTGCATATCTCTGTTCCACTCTTCGGCTTTATATGTATACATACACGGTGAATCGCTCGCTGCTAGGATCGAGAGGCAAGCCGCGAGAGGAAAACCGATTGTCGGTTACCGACACTCTCTCTGTCTCCGTTACAGACATAGGCTGCTCAGCAGGTGTAGCTAGCGACTCTTAAATGACCAAACAGGCGGCTTGCTTCTCGACCCTAGCAGCGAGCGATTCACCCTGTATGTGCGGCGCATAGAAACTGAGTACGGCGTGACAAGTGGAACAGTAGCGCACAAAACGATGTTACCCGTTGACGGTAATGGGATTATATGGTCCTAGGTATAACTATACTTACAGAACACTATTCTGTCCATGATATAAGCATCGCTGAGGCCGACTTTAACGGGATGAGCCGTATCCTCGATGAGCTCGACCAACAGTGGGATCACCGAGTAGACGAAAACGATATCACCGTTTTGATGAAGGGTTACCTGGAAGGTGAACGCGCCCGCATCCGGTTTGTCTTGCAAGACAACCTTCTCCCATACAACCGTGAACGCCGTTCCTGCAATTAAACGTACATCGCCGATTATATTTATAATCCGTGTACTCGTGAACACGAGCATTTCCTGCGTCGTTATTGTTCGCTAACGACTCACCATTGTCGGCGTACTTGACGTAACTGTCGTTCGATAGACGTGTATCGAAATTCGCCATCAACGGCGCAATGTATTGCGTAGCGGCGAGCCAGCTGTGAACGTACTCGCCGGTGTACAGAAAACCACCGGTGGCGATGGTGATGTTCCGAACTTTGTGCCCATAGAACGGGAAATCGAATTTCAGCTTAACCGTCTGTCAAGAAGCAACAAACAAGTGTCTAAGTGTCAATGTTTTCATGCGTTTAATTGGTACGAATTCGTTTCAACCGTGAACCAATCAGCTGTTAGTCCTGTTTAGTTATAGTATGACACTCTTTTAGAAGAATTTGGTAGTCTACAATATTACGACTTTGATACGTCCCTGGGGTCTTGACGTTTATATCAAAAGAATAATCATAAAATGTTAACATTCTGAGACGGTAATGTACCACTACGTCTGTTGAAATCCAGTAGCAGCAACCGACGACGACACACCGTTACATTCCATCGCGTCTAAAACTAGAAGCAATGGTCTGATACTACGTTCAGTTCTAATGTTTCTATTTGTATACTCGTTTTAGTGAGTATTTCAAGTTCTAAAATTATCAGTCTTAAATCGTTAACCGCCAAAGGCCATCGTTCATTATTTAGATACAACAAATTCCTAAGGTCAAGGTTCAAGGATATGTCAAGGTCATAAAATTGTCTCACTGAATTGATATTTGCGTCCGCTACAAGAATATATAATGTACAATATCGTGTTCCATATGAAGATATCAAGGTAATCATAACCGTGAAACGATTATCGTAGTTTGTACTAATAATATATGGACCAAACGGTGAACATAAAGTAACTACGTTCCCGACCTAGACTCACCGCAGCCCGACGATGGCTCTGGCTGAGCAAATGATTAACCTTGAGATCCGGGTGATTATCTATGTTCACCCAATATTTCTTTCCCACGATCTCGTCGATGATGAACGTGCTATTGTAATACTGATGCGTATCGGTCGCTGTTTTCGTGATATTGTGCTCGGACAAAGTCTTGTTCGTCAAGCCGATGTCCTCGATCTCGGACTCGTCCTCGTTGTCCGTGGATTCGGTGGTCACGGCCTCTGCAACCTTCTGCGAGTTTTTGTTCGTTTCTGTTGATTTCTCGGTCACGCCGGTCCATCTTGTGCGATTGGCCCAGACCACTGGCACAGCCTGTACAACACGAAAGTCGAATTGAAATTAACACAACGATATAGATGATACGATTCGAAGAAGCACTTCGTTTAATACTACCGAAAGATTTATATTGGTAACTCAAACATTACTGGATATTCCTGCACGTTATTTTCTTATTAATAATTAGCCAACATTCGTTCGCTTTTACATCCTATTTGTCAATTTCTTTCGTTTCCCAGACCAATAGTATAGAAACGTACATATTTTGTTCTGTTCTATACTTTTGTACGATTGTAGATTCCTTACGGCCCAATCTTTACAGCCACCATCGATCTTAATCGGGTAACCAGTTGTCATAACAAAGATAGTCCTACCCTCGGTGAGTTTGAGTGACCAATATGACCTTTGATTCGCGTGTAGCAGTTGATCATTTACCGGTTCTTTGCTCAGGGTGTTTATCTGAGTGGAGGTTGTCGTTGGCTGCCGGAAGGTGACGATATTCGGGGTTTCCTGCTTCGCCTTCGTAGGTGCAGTCGTCAAGGAGGATGAAACGGTAGACGATTCAGTGGTGTCCGTCGAGTATGAAACGTTCGCTGGCGCATTTGGCGTATTAATGACCGACTGTGGCTGTTGCTGCGATCGCTGGTTCTGATAAGGCTGTGACTGTGACTGTGACTGTGGCTGTGGCTGCGGCTGCGGCTGTGGCGACTGTGCCGTGATATAATGTTGCGGTGGTGGCTGCTGTTGCGGCGGTGGCTGTTGCTGCTGCAGTTGCTCGTGGGGCAGCGGTGCAGGTGTGACTGATGTTTTATCGTCCGCGGCACGACGTAACCTACCCAGTTCATGTTCCTCCTCGTTGTCAGACACATAGGAGAATTCAATCGGTCCGTATTCGGCCAACGATTCTCCTCTCGAGTTGTCTAGCTCATAGTACTGGTATCGATCTGCAGACATTGGAATAGGATTTATATATTTCCGTTATTCCGTAGAAGTCACGCGTTGAGATAGTCTCGTGTGTTATTGCAAAAACAACTTTTTTCCTTTTTGATAAACCTACTTCTACATCGCGACCCAGCTGTGAGTATCCTCTTTAATGCAAAATTATGGTCGCGCCAGACCAATTATCTCATTTAATCCATATGTACATAAATAAACGAATTCCTCGAAGAGTATTTCAAACTTAAAGATTCTATCGAGAAATATTGAAACACTGTTACAACATCTTATACATGGTCGGTACAGTAGTTGTTGAGACATTTCATCAACGAGCTTAAGAACACAAGCACGAAAATATCAATACCTTCCACGTTACAATCACAAACGGTAATAATTTATCTGTTTGGACGTTTGAGCCTCGGCGGCGAGGCTGCTTCGATTGAAAGCACGAGACGAAGCTGATTGTGAGTGGCAAAGCGGCAGCGCTTTGAATTTTCATCGCGACGCGACAATTCAACGTAAGCAGCGCGAGCGCGCACGCGCGTCGTCGCCGTCGAATGACGCGATTCGAATCAATTTATAGGTCGCATACTCGTCAGTCTGCCATTTATGAAAAGGGTCGTTCGGTCATTTTAAACGCGGGGCCTACGTCAACCGTCCAACCAGTGGCCCAGATCACTAGAAATTCTAACCATCGATGCCATTGTTTTCCAATTAACCCCGTCGGTGACGGTCACCGACGTGCATTCTGCACACACACGTCCGTTTCCTCAAGTGCAGTTTTCCGCCTACACCGTGTTCCAGAAACAGAAATTCTATGACAGAAATGAAAATATTTCCGCGTGCAACTACAGCACTCCTCTGAATAACAATATCAACGTTTTCTTCGGAATTGCAGCTAACTCTACGAACCGCCTACTCAAAATGCTCAATATTTGCGTGCAATACACGTTTGTATTTTTGTCGGAAAAAGCAAGACTGTTTACAATCACGCGGTCTAACCAGATACCGAGTAAATCTTGTATCCAAACAGCGAAACCTTCGAGTAAAATTACTCGGAACAAATAACGCATTAAAATTGTGCCCCCTATCTTACGTTCAAACGACGTCTCGTCTGAAGTTTTTCTCACCTTTCTCGGAACATTCTGTACACAGAAAAAAAAACCAAACAATGAATTAAACGAGCAATCGAAAATGTCAAAACAGACATGCGAACGAGTGATAAATTTTTTTTTCAGCTTTTCGAAAGAAACCTTTTTTCGAAGATTAAACTTACACGAATACAAATCTCTCGAAAGTGGAAACGACGACGAGAGACCACGTGGACGGAGAGAGGACGCGAGGCGATCGTGGCCAACGATCACGACCGGATAAAGTAATAATTGGCGATCCGACAGATAATCGTGAATGCACGAGAGACTTGACGTCAGTGTAAATTTTCATGCTCTGAAAGCTGGCGGCTCGATTAAACGTCCAACGTCCCAATCGTTATCCGACCCCCGGCCAAACAACCGACAATTTATTCGAGCGCGTCGTTCAACTTTATCCCGGCTTGTAACATCCACCACCACCACGACCGAAATAATATTTTCTCCGAGCGTGATTCACAAAACGAACATGATCGAGACGAATATTCGAGGCGGGACAGGATCGTCTAGATCTGCTGGGATGCTCGAGAGGCGAGCGAGGTTTCTGCGTTTACTCGCTGATCCAGGCGGAATTTCGAATTTCAGCGATGTTGTCGAGTGCAATAGGATTGCGTTCTTTCATCTCGAGATCTGTCGATAGTTTCGAGGCTCTCGAATCTATACGTCGCGCGAATTTTTCCAATTTCTAAGGACGCGCCGCGCAACCATTCGGGGGTCTTGAAAATTTTAATCTTGGGGAGATTTCCTAGGAATTGTGTATATTCTAATAAACGTCTATACTTATACTGGGCGGTCCATTCTTGGAACTATGTATAAAAGAAGAATAATCTTCATGAAAAAATAAGTGATAAGTCTAGAATAATTTCTGTTCATAATTAGTCGTATTATAAAACCTATTCTTCTACTCGGTTGAACGTTTTCCACTGTATTTCAATGATTTTGTCGAAATGAAAAGAGTGAAACGTCGCTGTTTGCGTTTCGAGGCACGAAGAAATGGCACGGCAAGCAAGTTTAATCGCGGCGAATAATATTTGAAGAGCACAACTCGGAGCGTTTTGTGAGCCTCTCGATGTCCCGAGACTATTCGCCGAGCGAAACCGTTTAACCACTGGCCAAGGACTTTACCGACGCGAATCGTTTAGTGTCTGGAATGCTTATCTGCATACAATAAAATGTACTTCTGTTTGCGATCGCAAGCCACGGGCAACCACTTGCTCATGCTTTTAAATAGAGATAATGCAAGTGTTGTCTACGTTTCAACGACGCACCTACTCTTGATTCGTACAGAGAGCAAGTTCAGTGTTAATGCTAGTCATTATTGAACAGAATAGAGAAAAGTTTTGTGCCTCACACGAATACTATATAAATGATTTCCTCGGAAAGCTGTTTTTTCCTGTGAGTGGTTTCAAGCAAGTCGATGGACAAAAAAATATTCCAAATTAAGTTTTATTCGGTCGTAATACCACAAAGACAAGGAGAAGGAGAAATGAATCGGTAAGAAAATGATATTCCGCGTTCGAATGGCTATCTATTGAAAGACGATCACGCCGGTACAGCGATTGAGTTATGATCGCACCAGCGTTGAAATTCCCTTAAAAAGATGTAGCGCGAGGTCGTCACGCATGCTCGATACATTCTCGAGGATATTTATTTTGGTCATTCGCGACAAGCTAATTTCTCGTTCGCGACATTCATTTCGGTTTCGTCGCGTTGCTCGAGCATATTGCCGCCAGTGTGTAATATTTTTTTCCTTTGAAACGTCTATGATAATATTTGGTGCGACAATAGCAACGGTTGGCAACAGTATTTCACGAAGACAATACGTAGCTGCGATCACACACACGCGGTCTTGCTCCAATCGAACCTCGAAGAGATCAAAATTATCAATAATGGCATTACATGTTACATGAAATATAAAAAGTTTACACAGATGCGAAGTTACTGCCGTTTAAACGTTCAGTCCGAACTACAGTAATGCCTCGATGACTGCGACATAATCGAGTTCACTTCGGAGCATTAGTGGTAAGGCGGAAAGGTTTTCAACAATCTCAACCCTTGATAAATTTGTTTGATAACCACTGGAACAGGACCTCGATCGTCGATTATAAAATTTTGAAACTTTAATCTACAGATAAATAGTACAGTCCTAATGGTGCATTTCTTTAATGTCCAGACTTTCTCTGATTTGCCATTAGTCAATTCGTTTCATTTGATGAGAAACACGTGATTTCTGGGCTGTCAGGATTATATATCCCATTAAGCGGAATGCTAATTATTATTGGCTCTGGCTTGGCTCGGAAACCGACAATGGTTTCACCTACGGGAAACAACCGTGGCGGACACAAACTGCGCATAAACCATCTCTGGTTACCCTTTGTTCTTCACAGATCGATAGGTATCGATCGTGAACGGGAAAGGTCGACGACACGAAAAGGGATCGTTATGACGATGTCTCGCGAACGCCTCGAAATAGCTCCCGAATTAGTCGTAGCACCGAGACGCTTTTTCTTTACTCTGGTAACCATGGAAAATTGATCATAACATAGAGCATAAAGAATGGTCAAAATCTGTTCTCCGGAGCATTGAATGGCGAATAAAACGGCGACGAGCTATTTCTTTGCGATCTAATCATACGAACAGAACAATAACAACAAAGACTGACACGTGAGACAATTGGCATTTTGTCAAAATGGTTTTACCTCGAAGATAAAGTGCTTAAAAGCTTCATGTGAGAAATTTCACGGTACGTTTTTGATTCATATTTACACATAGAATCACACAATCCGGCTGAACTACAATAACCTCACCGAAACTGGTCACATTTAATCGAATTAATTCTACTAAAAGTGCATGGTCTAGAAGTATTAATAGACACTTGTTACGGGCAATTTTCCCGAGAGACAGCGATGCACTCCCTCGTTCCGACAGAATCAATTTCTCCGTGTTATTAATGCTCGGCAATCGGCGTTATCGGGTGACACAATACGTTCGATTATCAGCCAGAAAAGGGTCAATAATGTCAATGTTATATACAGCGAATAATACGTGTACTCATTCTTCAAACAACAAGGAGATATTTTGCCTTTTTTGTTGTTAGAATGTGATGCTATTTTTAGCGATAATTACTTCTCACTCGATCGATAATTCGATTAGATATCTCGTTCAGGATTTACCAGAGACTGGGAATACAGAGAGAACGAAGAAGAAACTTGCTTCTTGCGACACGCTAATACGTACGTTATCGCGTCGTAACAAATTCGATATTAATGTAACGAAATGTTTGCTAAACATCCTTTCCTCGTCACGGCAAATTTCACACCGGTTACAAGACACTGATATCCGCCAGTCTGCGATGTCCAATCTCGTCGCCACTTTAATTCGCTTCGGTATATACTCGTTTAATTTCGCGTGGTCAATAACCCAACGGTGATGGTTCTCGAGCAAATTACGAGACCGCGAATCGATCTCGATATCCTCCCCTTGTACGAGACATCGCGAGGCATGCACATTAATAAACGATCGGTATCGCTCCTGTTACGTTGGTATTTTTATCCCGTGTAAAAGACCAAAGGTCAACATTCAAGCGAACGATAAAAACGATGAATGAATAATTAATTTATCTACAGGTGTATCAGTGGTGGCCTGAGATTCATCAAGGTCGACGAAGTACAAATATTGCTGTAATGTCTCTTCCAGCGCGATAATACTCTGAAAAAATACGGAGGATGTTGCGTTTACTGAAGGATGGAAATACCAATGATCATTAATATCTCTCCGTTCTTGCATATTGAGTCTATTTTTCACTATCCGCTGGTTTCGCCTCATCTACAATCTTTCCTGCTTTGAATACATTAACCCTA